TAACACAACACGAGTTGTCAACAACAGTTAACCACATTACACGTAACACACCACACACAAAGTAAACAACAACAACAGAAGTAACACGCACACAGTACACCACAACAGGACACACACAGATAATAACCCAACACACAATGCCCCCGTACACACACAACACACAGTACCACCACTAGTAATTAGTAACACACACACACACATACAGTAGTAACACACACACATGACACACACACGTGATCAACCACCCAGTAACAACCACACCATACACACGACACAGTAACCAGACACCATAACTAGCACACAGTAACACACCACAAGTAACACAACACACACAGTGACCCACACAGTAAACACACCCAATGCACACCAAGTACACCAACACACACAGAGTTAACACACACAGTAACAAAACACAGAAACACACAGTACACCCACACAGTAAACAACACGTAACAACACACACAGTAACACACCCACGTAACAACCACAACACAGTGACACCACACGTAACCAACACACACGATAACACACAGGTAACACGCCACGTAACACACTGTCTCTGTTTTCTGGCCAGGTTACGTTCGGCGTACCCACACAGGTGCTCAAAGAATGCGGCTTCGTGTGGTCTCCGAGTTGGTCAGGAGGAGCTTGCATAGGGTCTGGGGGTCAGCGTGGAAGGTCACCATAATCGCGAGCACTTCAGAGAGCCTCTACCTTACTGTGACCAGGTAAGACAGGAAAGTGACTGCATGCCAGTGATTCACAATAAAAGTCAAAGAAAGGAGCCTGTAGGAAGGTCACTAATGACCTGAAATATAATATAGTTATTATAATCTTAGTTTAAGCTGTACTCTGTTGTTTTGGAGGCTCGTATGTGGACCTGCTTGATCTATAGACTCTGTGCTACGTCAGGATGTTGGATAATGGATGTGACATACTGCCTTCAAGGTCTGCGGGACAGATGAGTTCCTCAACAGTAAAGACCTTCAACTGGTTGGGTGACCCACAGATATGTAACTCTCTGTAGGTCCAGGTAAATTCAAAATGTAATATTTTAACCCTTAAGACCCCTGTGCTGTAACCTTAATTTAACAATGTCTTCAGAACATTCACAAAACTCAAATTCATTTTATTGTTTTTATATTTAAATCCAATTGTTTTGTTTCCTGTAAAAAAACAAACTCTTATCAGTTACTTGGTGCAATGTTTCTAATTTATGGAGGCTCTCCACCGCTGTCTGTCCAGAGCGGTTGTACAGCAGCTCTTCTGCATATCATTCACAGCTGCTGGAGCTGGGGACTGACAGTGGATCTGTCTGTCACTGGTTCTCCTGTCTGTCTGTTCTGTCTCTCTGTCTCTTCTGTCTCTTGTCTTGTCTGTTGTCTGTCTCTTCTCTGCTGTCTGTCTGTCTCTGTCTGTCTGTCTCTCTTTCTGTTGTCTTCTGTTCTCTGCTGTCTGTTGTCTGTTGTCTCTCTGTCTCCTGTCTGTTGTCTCTCATGTTGTCTCTCTGTCTGTCTTTGTCTGTCTGTCTGTTGTCTGTCTGTCTCTCTGTCTGTCTCTCTGTCTGTCTGTCTGTCTGTCTGCTCTCTCTGTCTGTCTGTCTGTCTGTTCTTCTGTCTGTCTGTCTGTGTCTGTCTGTCTGTCAGCTCTCAGACTTTGGCCGGTCTGGAGTTTGTCCAGCAGTGTCTGAAGTTCGACTGGGACGTCCGATTGTTTCTGACCAAGAGATCTGCCATCAACACAGAGCTTGCCCGCACGGTCTGAACACACAAAAAATATTATTGATTTATATCTTATTATTATTGATTACTTGTTATTTATATTGTAGATGTGAGATTTGTGTGGTACAGGATTATTGTGCAGAAGAAGAAACATTTTGTGCCGCTAATAACAGAAAGAAGACGATGAGACGTCGTCCACCATGAACCACAGCATCCTGCTGCAGGAGCGTCCAATCAAACAGACCGTCACCAGGTGAGGGGGCGGGGCCTGTACCTCCTCACAATAATAATAATAATAATAATAATAATAATAATAATAATGTCTATCTGATCAGGGAGGCTCTGACTCTGCTGTTGGATACGTTCCATAATGAGGCCGAGTCCTTCCTGCTGTCAGAGGTAACACACACACACACACACACACACACACACACTCCACTGTCTGTAATGTTTCCTACTAAGATCCTTAAAAATAAACCCTTTCGGGTTCTCTTAAGGTGGAGCTACCGCTGCACGTGGAGCGTCTCGTCCAATCAGTGAAGGCGCTCTGCAGCTCGTTAGCTGCCGTGGAGACACCTGATGTGACCTCCGCCCTCAACCAGCTCCCAGCATGCCCCTGTCGTCTGCAGCCCAAAGTCCTCAAGGTGAAAGACACTGACAGAGTCCTCAGATTATCATTTAAAGTTCTTCGGTGATGGATCACATGTTAATGTCCTCTCTGTCTCTCTCTCTCTTTCTCTCTCTCTCTCTCTCTCTCTCTCTCTCTCTCTCTGTCTCCTCTCTCTCTCTCTCTCTCTCCCTCTCTCTCTCTGTCTCTCTCTCGTGCTGTTGTCATTGCATTCCTGCTCTGACCCTGACAGCCATTCAGCGCACACTTCAACACATATTCACTTCTAAAGAGCAGGTGACAACCAAGAATACTTTCACTCTGTTGGCAAGCCACATACCGCTGTGAACGGAGAATATAGTGATGACATGACACATATTGTAGCCACCTAGTAGACAGAAGACATTATAGATTAATGTGAGGCTCTCCATAGCATCCAATGGGGTCACCCAGTCCCGCTCTGAGGATATTATAATTCTCATAGAAGCTGTAGCTTGAGGGCTCCAGGCCTTTTCTGCTCCAGCTACAACAAATCAGCCTTTCATTAAAAAAAAACTTTTAACATTGTCCCGCGTGACCCCTCGTTGTTATTTTTGTCCATTCTCCCAAACGCCACCGTAGATAATGCATAATGCGCGTCATCATTCTTCCCCCAGATTAAGCCGAGGGGGATATTGTGTTAGGGAGCCCTCTCCAACGTACCGAGACCCATGGCAGGCTGAATGGGCTGCAGGGAGCAGGACTAAAGCAACAGGCTTGTGGTGTCTCTCCAGGGCGCCACTGGGAGAGCCCGAGTGTGGAAACCATCAAGGCTCCAGCAGCTGATGTGTTCTGACAGTGTTGTGGTAGATCCGCTCTGCCGTAAGAGGTACATAGGAAACACGGTGTGGTTCACATGGGGAGCTCTTTTTCCATCCACAGCTTGGCCTCAGTGGGGTACATCGTCTATGTGTGTTTGTGTGTGTGTGTGTGTGTAAGGCAACATTTCCGCATTTTAGCCACAGAAATCTCTTCTCTTAGCTCGCCCACTCTGCCCTGCAGTGGTGGAAAATAGCTGTCCATTTATATTTAAGTGCACTTTTGAGTTTTTACATTTTACGTGACTTTATGCTGCACTAAATACATTTATGTTGTTACTCCACTATATTTATATGACAGCTACCAACTACATCTGCATGAAAAACATAATAAGCAGTGTTGTGCATGAACAGGTGTGGAGTTAGAAAGAGCCCGATCCTCATCTCTGCTTGAGACTACATTAGCTGCTACTAGCATAACAAAACCAAATCTACGACTGAACTGTAGATGGTTGGATTGCATTATGGGTAATGTTTTACATTGAGGGAGAATGTATGGAGTAAACAAGATATCTCTGGTCCTGCTTCATATATTTTGATTTATTTATTTTTTTGTATCAAAATTCAGTCACAGGGACAATTATCTAAAAAGTACTTATACAATTAAGTACTTTTACTTTCGATACTTAAAATACATTTAGCTGATAATACTTCTGTACATATGGGCTTAGATTGCAAGACTTTTTACTTTTTTTTTTATGTTGTTGTATTTGTTCTCTTACTTAAAGGAACTTGTTTGTTGATTCTGGTGGCCCCTTTGGTCAAAAGCGGTTTAAAAACTCTGTGTGGTACATTTAAGTACCTGCTCTACCAGTTGTCCTGCTCTTCAGAGTGTTTGAAAACCCAACGGCTCCTCAGACACTGTGGCCCTTTGGACTAAAATGTCCATGCAGACCTCATGGAAATTCCAGTGTGCTACGCTGAGGCCGGACACATGTTTTCTCAGGGCTTGTGTGTGTCGAGGTACACCGTGTGGGAAACACTTGCATTCCACACCCACTTGTTGACCCCGCTGAACTCTCACTGTGCTGATTCCTCGGTGTTACCTTGGCCGTGGGGAGAGGATGTCCACCGAGCTCACAGGGAGGAGGAACATATGTAGGGGGAACCTCTCGCTCAGCAAAAAATAAACCGATGACACATTTGTGTGGGAGTCGTCTGTTTCCATTAATTTATTCACATCGAACACTGGTTGAGTAAATACTAAAGGAAGTCAGGTCATTCCGGTATGTTATTGACATTCATATGGCACTTAATGCAGAGTAATCTTAATTTCTTTAACACCTTGTGGCCTTTGCTCGCACATTAATCAGTCGTGTCAAGTGCTGCATGTCAAAAGCCATTTGAATCCCTCTCAAAACTCCTCACTTAACACAATGCCTAGATGAAAGCAAACATGTGCAACAGGAAAATCACAAGTTGAAGTTCAACAGCTGCTCCCACTCACAATGACAAAAATGTGATTCTTATCTAGAGTTTCATCAACACTCTGTTTAAAGACACATATTTCTGTGCTGAGTCACTTTGCACCACGTGAGGATCTCCTGCGAGCAATACTATGTAAACTTCTCTGTGTGGCTTTTTTTTTTTTTTTGGTATCATAAAAAAAATCTACTCACACAGCAAAGATTAGTTTATGATTAACTGCACTGTGATCCCCATAGGTTCAATGAAAGGTAATAAAGTGTAACTTCATGCAGTTTTTTGCAAGTCTTCATTACTTCTTTCAGCTTCAGGGACGGAGGATGCGAGGCTTACCAAAGGAAGAGAAAAAGTCATGGGTTCAATTTCATTTCCTGAACTAAGCCAGGGTACATGCTACATATTAAAGACGCACTCCAGTGATTTAGTCTTGCACTTCCATAAGGCTGGAGGATTTCAAAGAGTGGGATTAAACAAGGAACGGTCCAAATGAATGCAGGAGAGTCCAATTATCCTTACCTTTAGTCCCTAGATTAGGTCAAGCTCCAAAAACTCTGAATGCTATGATTCCCATTGTGCAACTCAATAGCATCTTTTGTTATATACATATTTATTAGGTTTAATTACATAGAATGTGAGGCATTCATGTCTGCAGAACACAGACATTCTGCATTCATGTCTGCAGAACACTCATTATTATTAAAATGTATCTTTTTGGATGCACATTGCACATATTCATTACTCTGAACATTCATTGGTTAATGTTTTGCACATTCCATCCTCTTTGTTTCAAATACTGTACAGCTCTTTTCATTTAAATAAAAACAGATATATATATAAATTCTTTGTACATGAAAACCACCTTGACAATAAACCTGATTCTGATTCTGATTCATTAAGCGCCAAGTAAGTGTAAATAAAGCTTTGTTTATACAGCACTTTTTTAAAACACAAAGTTACAAGGGATTCACACACACACAAAAATATAGTAGACCAAGTTGAGTGCTGCTATATAAATGGTCTGTAAACTCAGGACCAAACTGTTCAAGTGTACTTATGCAAGGCATTGCATCCCTATCATCTATCAACCACTATGCAGCTGTGTAGGATGGACAAGGGACCACTGAGGAGGGCAAATTCCACTTTATGTAGAATAGCTTATGATAAAAGTTCTTCTGACTTTCTGTAGACTTAAAGGTCCAGTGGTTAGGATTTAGTGGCATCTAGCAGTGAAGTTGCAGATTGCAACTAACAGAGCACCTCTCACGTCTGTATTTTACGACCTGGGAAAGAGAACAGACTGAAGTGTGTAACACGCAAAAAACACCAAGGACCTATCTAGAGCCACTATTTGGTTTGTCCCTTCAGGGCTATGGTGGTTAAACATGACAAACTCCTTGGAAGGTGACCTGTGACGTATAGCATGAATATTATATTCCATTTCTGCCAATATAATCTCCTAAAATGTTACACACTGGGCCTTTAATTCACATATAAAATTAACATTGCATCCATAGATTACATCTCCTTACAGGGGGTCAGATGTTTGTTTACTTTCTTCACCCTCTGCTTCCTAACACTCCACATCAAGTCACGACCGCTTCTCAACCCGCCCTCTCTGCTCCCTCGTCTGAATGCAATTTGATATTTTACTGATTTTATAAGACATTATAAGATTAAATAACACATTTGTGCTGTTATAGTCAACATTTAGCAGAAGGTTTCATGCATTTTTATTGAATTCATTGTGACTTACCTTCCCTTGAGACCTATTTAACAGACAGCAGTCATTTTGACATGCAATAGTACAACCACGGGTCAGCTCAAACAGAGTCAGGGTGCTGCTGTTGAGTATATTGGCTCACTGGAACCAGTTAGTATCATTGGCAACCCCTCTGTACTATTTTACGTCAAAATGGCTGCTGTGAAAAAGGTCTATAGCTATCTATTCAATGTTTTAATAGTAGCAAGTGTCACAGAAATACAATCAATAGGCCCAATAAAATTTCTTCCTTGGACATTTACTGTTCTCAGAGTGTAATGAATTAATTCCATTGAAACCAATGACGACAGAAAAAGACCTTCTCCTGTGAACGCAGCAACTGTATGTTAATTAGCGGTCATACCCAGATGGGGGCAGGTAGCCTAATAAATCTGATCTGAAAGCATCCTTTAGAGAGTGATTACGCAATTACCACTGACATGTCCTTAATTTCAAACTAAAGAAATATGATTTTCTGTACTGACCTTTACTCACGAAAGCAATTTGTAAAGCAAAGCTCTCAACATTGTATGTCCACTCCAAGCAACCATTCATTGTGTGGATATTGACGTTATCCAGGTGTCTCTTCGTGATGTTTTTTTGTCTAAACTTATTGAAGGGATTGTGTCCATTTTACCTCTTTGCCTTTTTAAAGAGCCTTAATCTTGTTTCAGAACATTTCCATGACAGGGGCAGTTTAACTCTTTTTTTTTTCTAAGCCTCTAAGGCGTGTGCCAGATGCCCTCTTTTCTTCGGAGGGGCCCTCATATTCAAATCACAGCAGCTGGGAAGTGCTTTGGTAAGAGGCAAAGGAGTGGGCAGAGACTGGGGGAGTTTTTTAAAGATGTAATGGGGATGGGGGTGTGCATTTGTTTGGCCGGTGTATGATCTGGCACACGTCTATAACAGAGAAACCCCAAGGCTCTCAGTCTTTGATCCGCATAAGCAGTGTGAGGCCTGCAGGCTGGGGGTTTCGGGCCTTTTACTCTGGGTGTGAAGGCACAGGCAGCGGAGAGACAGAAGATAGGCACTGTGAGTAGGCGGGGGTGGCATGTGGCTGGA